AAAAAAAAAAAAAAAAAAAGAAACTCCCTTTATTATATTGCTCTAATCAGATTGCTTTACTTTCGGCTGTTTCCTCGAAACTGAAAACAAACATGGAATTCTTATTGACATTAAACATTTACTCTCCACATACTCATTGTTTCTTGGTCTAGTCGATCTTTTAAAATTGTACTTACCCTTGGGAATGTCGCTGAGTTTATTTCTTTGAAGAATTAGCAACTTTAGAAATGGAAGCCCATTTCTCAAGCTGCTTCTGTGGTGCTTCACCCATGAGGACTTAAGGTTGGGTAGATCCACTGAGACGGAGTAGATGGTATTGTTGCTGAGGTTTAATATTTCCAAAGCATGTAAATGGGCAAGAGTGCTTAAAGTTATTCTTGATATGAGGTTGTTACTGAGGTCCAGATGTTTTATATTCCATTCTTCTTTTTTTGTGTGAGATTGGAAGCGAACCCTAAAGAAACTGGAATTTACATCCACTGTAGCTGCTGTCTGTGATATGTCCACAGGTATCTCACGGTTTCCAGTAAAAGAACAGTTTGTGAGGTGATGTCCATTCCATTGGCACTCAGAATTGAATAACATACTGCTTCTTGATGGGTTTGTCATTGTTTCAGTAAAACAAAGACGTACAACTATGGTAATGACTCTGAAACACAGCTTTTTCATAATGCCTGGAGAAAGGAAAATGAATTGACTTATCCAAATTAACTTATATAAAAACTAACAGCAAATAAGCAGAAAATTTAATTTTCAATTTAAGATTTAGGAAGGTTATCTTGCCTTGATTGCCAATTGCCAATTTATGTTTTATTTCTTAGAAATTAGGACCTCAAAATGTAGCTACCAAAATGGTACAGCTACAGTATAAAATTACATTTATGTCATATTTTAAAGAAAGAACTCCCCTCATTTTTCCAGAAAATACGTATTCACTTGGGCCTCACCTCTGTGTCTGCTTTTCCAGAATCATTCACCCGGCAGTCTGCTTTGGAGTGAGGGAAACCTACCAAGATTAAACACTTCTCTGCTTCCTTGTTGGTCATGAGTACCGAGCAAAGTCTATTCTGCTTATCTACAACACTGTAACCAGCCATGTGATTCATTAGGTGAGTGACAAGCCATCCAGTTACACTAACCTGTGAAACTGTATGGGTGGAAAGTTCAACTCACAGAAGAGACTCAATTGTTTTTAAGGACTAGAAGAACTACAAGCTTTGTCTTTGTGACTTTTGTGACTTTTCAAATTCCTTTGAAATTATTTAGATATATAACATAAATAAAATGGGGTTATAAAAAGGATGCTCTGCCTCAGAATCATGAAGATGTAATAAGATATAGACACATCAAGTTCTTTTTCAGAAAGATTGTGAAGCAGTTGAAAGTTTTAAAACAAATATCTACAAATCACAATGGCTAAATGTATACCAAAAAATTTTTTAAAGAAAAATAAATGGATAATTTTTGTGATTTGTTTTAATTAAACTAAATTCCATTAAAAAACCAGTGTGTGTACAAATAACCACATTATTCAGTAGGTAGATTTACAACAAATTATCCCTCCCTTTCTGATCTAATGGCACCAGTCTAGTTCTCATCAGTAACCTGAAATACTAGTTAACCTGGCTTAACTATTTTTCCTGCCACTGCTTCTTGGTTTTCCTTCTTCTTGATTTATCCTATGGGATTCCAAAGTGTTATTTCCCCATAAAACCGTTTTCCTCATATCATTCCCTTATTCAAAATCCTATAAGGGCTCCTTAGTGCCTGTCATCCAGGTCCCTCAGGTTGGCATTCAATCAAGGTTTTGCATTATCTAACTAACCTCATGAACTAGTTTGGAGCAACTACAAGATGTGGCTTGTGCACAGCAGTACATATACATATCTTATGCTAAAATTAGCTTTTAGTTCATTCCCAATTCCAAGCTCAATGCCTTTTCCTCTCCTCAGTCCAAATCCTACATATCCTTCCAGATCCATCTCAAATCCTATGGCCCAAAGACCCTTTTTCCTGCTTTAGCCTGTTTTGTCTTCATGTTTTCAGAAATCTTTCAGGAAATATTTATTGAACGAGTGAGTGAATGCATGTTTGACAGAATATCAATACTATCCTGCATTGCTATTGCTTTGCTTTGTGTTTGTTTTAAACTCCCCAGAAGATTGCAAACTCTCAGAAGATAAGGGCCACATTTTCCATACAAGATATATTTGTGTGTGTGTGTATGTGTGTGTGTGTGTGTGTGTGTATATATATATATATATATATATATATATATTTATTTATTTATTTATTTATTTCCCCATGTTTTATATTTTTAACATTCTGCAGTCTGTCACAGGGCTATGCCCTGTTTGGATGAATGAATGCATGAAGTGAATGAAACTTACCATGTAACTTTTTAAACTTTGGTTTCATACAAGGTCAATTCTCCCATATTTTGAAGGGCATCTAAATTCAGGTACACATGGCCATGAACTGCAAAGGTGCCCTACAGCACGGAGGAGTGATTTATTTTTATAGTGTGCCTCTTATGCAATACCAGACATTGAATTCATTTGTACAGTCAGAAAGTTATTTGTTTCTATACAGTCAAGTGTCACATAATGTCATCTTGGTCAATGACAGACCACACAAATGATGGTGATCCCATAAGATTAGTATCATATAGCCTAGGTGTGTTGTAGGCTATACCATCTAGGCTTGTGTAAATACACTCTATGATGTTTGCACAATGACAAAATCCCCTAACAATGCATTTCTCAGAACGTATCCCCGTCGTTAAGTGATGCATGACTGTATTCAAAGCTCTAATCATTAAATATACAATTGCATACAAAGCTAATGTAACAATATCAGCAATGTCACAGCTCTGTAACAAACTGCAGACTATGAAAAATATAAAACAGGGCCAGCCCTGGTGGCCTAGTGGTTAAGTTTGGTGCATTCCACTTCGGTGGCCTGGGTTTGGCTCCTGTGCAAGGACCTACACCACTCATCTGTCAGTGGCCATGCTGTGGTGGCCCACATACAAAATAGAGGAAGACTGACACAGATGTTAGCTCAGGGCTAGTCTTCCTCAGCAAAAAGAGGGAGACTGGCAACAGATGTTAGCTCAGGGTGAATCTTCCTCAGAAAATGAAATAAAAATACAAAACATGGGAGGAAAATATATCACATGGAAAACATGGCCTTTATCTTCCGGGAGCTTACAGTCTTTTGGGGAGTATAAAACATACACAAAGTCATTCACAGGCATATTACTTGGCAGTATTGAAGAGAAACATGGTTGAAAACTACTTATTCTTAAGGGGACATAAGTTAAAGATTTTCATTGACCTGTTTCTTTCTAAGTTGAACAGATTTATACATTAACTAATAAATTTGAGTTCAAAACAGCTAGATAAGGATAACTTTACATTTTAAAGTGAAAGATAGTAATTTGTAAGGAAAAATTATACATACTACATACAAACTTACATGTATTAGAAAAGAACTCCCCAAGAACTCCAGAAACATTTTCTGAGGAAACTGAAAACAATTAGGTAAAATGTAAATCTTTAAATGGACATATTGAAGCTGAAATATGAGGAAGCACTTAGAAATATTGGGAGTGTGTGGGGGTGTCAGAGAGTAAGAGACATAGGGAGAAGGCAGTGGAAAAACAGAAAATAGAAAGGAAATGAAGAGTCCATTCGTATATAAAAGAGAAGTTAAAACAATTAGAAGAACAAAAGCAGATAAGGCTATTATTTGTTAAGATGTGGAATGCACACACTAGTAACACTGTTTCTAAGGCATACCTTACGATCCTTAGGTAGTTTTCAAATGGGTCTCTGTCTGGATCAAGCCAGGAGGGGATTTTAGACCTGAGCCTTTGAGGCTCCACCCACCCGCCATGGAGCCTGCCTTGTGGTAAACCTTCAACCCTTTCATCTCCAGGCTCTGGCTTCTTGCCTCGGTGATGGCCCCGGACTCTGGGAGAAGAGCCACTGGAGAAAGGCCTCCTGCGATGCGTAGAGGGTAGGACCACCCAAATGGGGACTGTGCAACTTCTAACTTGGAGCCCCAGGATTCCAGAGAGGTTACATAAATACCAACTGGGTCCCATTCTCAAGCTATATTTAAATTCATCACGTCTGTATGATTAAGTAGAAACCTGCTAATATTTTAACCATTAAAAAATTAACAGCAAGCAATTTACAGAATCTTTATTGTAAACAGAGGTCATTAATAGTTATTACAAACTGGATTAACTGAAACTCAAGTTAGTAACCCAAAACAGATTTATAGGTTTATTTTCCCATGGCATAATTTGTAATCTTTGCCCCCTCAACACTTTAAAAAAGATTACTAAAATTATCAGCATTTCAATGGTCTCTTTGTCAAGTTTAGCACCGTAACATTCTCACCCTCTTAAAAAAAACTCATTCAAAACTAGGTAGAACTTCCACCTTTTATCATCAAAACTATCACACAAAGTTTATTTAGTTTTTTCATAATGGAAAAGAACACAAATAAGTATATTTTTAAATATTGTAGACCACATATAGGCAGTCCTCACTTGGTGTTGTTTTGCATTTTTCCTATCTGCCCCTTAGACAGTCTCCAAAACATCTTGCTTTTATATCATTTGTCCCCTTGTAATTGCAATCCTCCTCTAACGTATTGTGGTTATTTATTTATTTTTTTTTGTTGAGGAAGATCAGCTCCAAGCTAACATCTGCCAATCCCCCTCTTTTTGCTGAGGAAGATTGGCCCTGGGCTAACATCTGTGCCCAATTTCCTCCACTTTATATGGGACGCCACCACAGCATGGCTTGCCAAGTGGTGTGTCGGTGCGCGCCCGGGGTCCGAACTGGCGAACCCCAGGCCGCCGCAGTGGAGCTCGAGCACTTAACCGCTTGTGCCAGCGGGCTGGCCCTGGTATTGTAGTTATTTAAACAAGCATGTATCCGCCCTACTCTCCTAGGATCCTGTCTCTGTCATCTACCTCCCCAAAGTCCGCTGCTTGTCATATCAGTGCTCAACGCACGGGAGGAACAACCAGCAGAAAGAGGCAAAGTTAACACTTCAGTTTATAGAAAAACACCATCTGGTGGTGAGAATGAGTAGCTGATGCTTTACTGTTATGCAAAATAGGTCGCAGGTAAAACGGACGGTTTGTTCTTGTTCTGCTTTCCACTGAGTTTCCATTTTACAATTTCAGTGAAAAGGCAAGGGCTACCTCTAACGTGTCCTAAAATTCTATACCTGTTACCTTAACAATCAGTTCTATAAAAACAGCAAAATATCCTCTCATGTCAAAAGCGCTTAAGGGAGATGTATCAAAAACAAGTATTTCTCAAAGAGGAATAAAAATAGATTATTTCACAAATTACTGTCAATAAATAATACTTTGAACATAGTGTTCTGTCTTTTTTGTAAAAATATTTATCTAAAGAAACTTTCAAAACAAATCTAAATAGAGCAGACAAGTAATGATGTAAAATTTAAAAAATATACTGAGCATCTGAATGAAAATTCCAGTGGATTTTTTCCTGAATCCTGAATATCATCCAGATATTAAATGATACTGAATATATTCAAATAGGTTCACTACAACTAATAACACTCAGAGGTCACCCATTTCACTCTCTCTTTTTTTTCCTTAATTTAAAAACTGCACCCAGTATTACACAGTAAGCCGATCTTTCTTTCTTTTTTTTTTTTTTGTGAGGAAGATCAGCCTTGAGCTAACATCCATGCTAATCTTCCTCTTTTTGCTGAGGAAGACCAGCTCTGAGCTAACATCTATTGCCAATCCTCCTCCTTTTTCTCCCCAAAGCCCCAGTAGATAGTTGTATGTCGTAGTTGCACATCCTTCTAGTTGCTGTATGTGGGACGGGGCCTCAGCACGGCCAGAAAAGCGGTGTGTCGGTGCGCGCCCAGGATCTGAACCTGGGCCGCCAGTAGCGGAGTGTGCGCACTTAAGTGTTAAGCCACGGGGCTGGCCCACCAATCTCTATTTTAGTTTACTTTAATGACTATTCATAGTCTCTAAGGCATCTGGTTTTTCTATCAGAGAGAACTGTGACAATATTGAATGCAAATTGCTTTTTGTATTGATTTTCTTATCTACACAGCTCAAAGTGACCATGACAGAATATCGTTACACTAGAACACAGAGTGGGGCCTATGATTTATCTCTACCGCCTACTTTACAGCAAACTACTTTGAAGTCTCTGTCCCTGATGTTGTGTGTGTCTTAATACCAGAGAGTTCCTTTGAAGTCAAACATAAAATACACTAAAAATCAATTGGCTTGAGAGTCGTAAATCCATCCAATGGGATGGTGATATTAGGAGCGGAGATCAATTCTCATACCTACTTAAACATTACTTGTATTATTTCCTGCATTAGTACCCTTTAGTCTAGTGCTTTCCAACCTTTTTCCAGGCATGGCACACATTAGAAAGGGTAACATTTGTATGGCACACTGGGGTAAACCACCAGGCCATTCTCCACCAGCAGGACCTGCCTGGGGCCATGGCCTCCCCACTTCCCACGGTATTGCCCTGAGGGCTGAGGGTATAAATATCTTGGCAACCCTTTTACCCAATCAAGTACTGCAGTGTGCCAAGGCCATCTGTTGGGAAACTGGGGTAACCCACAACTAGGCCAATTTGATCTCTCGATAGTATAATATTTTGGAATTGGCTTAAGATGGTTTAAAACCTGACAGTGATTGGTCAGTTTTTTTGGCACAAGATTGATTTATTATCTTTTAACTAGAGTAAGCATACCTGTTTTGTTTAATTCTTATCTGCTTACGTAAGTTTGAATTAGTTTTTGTTCCTCTTTCTAGAGTTTTAAATAATTAAAACTTCAGTGCAGAAAATGAAAAGAACACGGTATCTGGAAGCAGGTACAACCAAGTTTGAATCACACCTGAATTCCAATCTCAAGTCTGCTTTTCCTATGTGACATTAGGCAAGTTTCTTAACTTCTCTGATCCTCAGTTTCCTAACAGGTAAAACTGGGATAATAACATCTACTTACAGACTTGTGATGAGAATTAGAGATATTACACATGCAATGCCTAGGACAATGCCTGGGATGTATAAGATGCTCAATAAGTGACAGCTATCATCATTATTTAAAACTTAAACCTGGGATGGTGTTTGAATTTCTACCACATTATGAACACAATATTTATCAATATTTAACAAGTAAACATTCTATTACAGGGTATTTTCCGCCTAGTGCAAAACTAAGGAACCACAGTTTCTTACTATCTCACCTATGTGAAGTTCTTTAATGACTTCACTTGCATGTGAGAATATGGCTGAAAGTTAATGCACTAAAAATCTGTCTTTCTTCTCAGAAGCCAAAAGACAGAGCATGTACCATTTACTCACGGTGTACCTTTTAAACATCTTCAGTGGGTCTATCCCCATTAGTTACCAAAAGCTTACTTATAGTGAGTCTCAACAGTTGCTTCAGTCCTTTATCCTTTAGACAAGGAATAGTGGAATTTTAAGAACACTTCTTTATCTTCTCATTAAAGTAAAAAAAAAAAAAAGAACACTTCTTTAAAGATTAATTTTAGTTTTACTTACTTCTGATAATTATTTTAGAGAACTGCAGTTTGAAGATCAGTGCAACTTAATGAAATGTATTAGAATTTAGGCTCTCTGCGAATATTTTAAATATGGAGATTACATAGATATAGTAGTGCTCTGCAGGTAAAATAATTACGAGTTACCACAAACTCTGTAAAAACATGATTTGCATGCATACTCTCGAAAAACAAGTCAAGTCAAGATATGAACATATTGGTGACCTCTTGGGTTCTTCTAATGGGTGTTTCCACAGGGGTTGTCTGAGATTTGGCAGCCCATGTTCTGGCCAGTTACTTGCACTTTGAAGAGAGTTCCGTCAGCACACATGCAGAGCTTGTAGCGCACCCAGTCGCCAGAACCAAACTGGTCTCCACTGGAGGAACTAGGTAGGCGAGTTGTGCTAACCATCACAGTTCCATTTAGGATGATGCTGTTTTCCTATCAGGAGAATAGCAATACGATTTATTTACCTCCACAAATGGGAACTGAACAAAGTTAATAAACAAAACTTACTGGAATGCTAACAAGACAGAGTCAAGTCATGACCAAAACAACCACAAAAAAAACAAAACCAATGTCAAGATTCAACTAGTGATCTCTTAGTAACAGTTCATAATGTATATCAATACACTTGTAACACAATTTATTTCTCAATTAGTTAAAATTCCTAAGTGCATAATAAGACTGATGTTGATAAAGTCTCAGATCATTTTCATTCGTTACTTCCTAAGAGAGTTTTAACAAAGTTACCGATTGATAAATTTCTGATGATGATAAGAAAAAGAGTTTTTCTCCCAGAGAAAATTAATTTTAATTTCCAATGTTTTTTGCAACACCACAAATATAGATTTGAGCCATATAATTTTGAAGAGCAGGTACTCAAAGGAAACTGCCTGGGAGGCTCTCTTCTTCAAGCCCACTCTTCCAGGAACATTCTTGTATTGTAAGCCTGTTCTTTTTAGGAACTCCTAAACCTCTCTCTGCCTTCTTTCCTCCTCCTTAGCTTTTCTTCTTTTCATTCACTCAACAAATAATCATTAAATGTCTACTACGTGTTAGATACTGTTCTAGGTGCTGAGGATACAGCAGTCAACAGACAAGCAAAGTTCAAGTTCTCACAGTTGACATTTTAATGGGGAGTGGCAGACAACAAACACATGAACAGGTAAAACAAACAGGATACCATCTGAGAAAAAGAAGTCAGGGTAGATAGGGTGAACAGGCAGGGGTTCTACATTACACAGGGTGGTCAGGGAAGGCCTCTCTGATAAGCTAACAGTCCAACAGAAACTGGATGATGTAAAGGATTAAGCCATGTGGGGGTAACCTGGGATGGGCACTCCAGGCAGAGGGAACAACATACAAAGGCCCCAAAGTGAACATGTGCCTGGTGTTCTAGGAGCAGACAGGAGGCCAGTGTGGCTGAAGCAGAGTAAGGGGGTCAATTGGTAGGAGACGACTCAAAGAAATAACTAGGGCCATATGTAAGGCCAGGGAATGGCCTTTGGATTTTGTTACAAATTAGATGGGAAGCCATTTGGAGGGTTCTCAACAGGGAAGTGACATGATCTTTTAAAAAGGATCACTCTGGCTGCTGTATAGAGAACTGACTACAGGGGTCAAAGAAGAAGCAGGCAGAGGACTTAGGAGGCTGTTCCAACAGTGCAGGCAGGAAACGATGGTGGTTTTACACCATTGTGGTAGTGGCGGTGGCGGCAGAGGTGCTGAGAAGCAGCCAGATTCTGTACATATCCTGAAGGTAGAGCCAGAAGGCTTTGCTGATGGACTGATGGGTACCACTTAACAAGATGGGAACACTGAGAGAAATGCATGTGTGGGGAGGGAGGGAGGATATGAAGATTTTGGACTTGTTTAGTTTGAGATGCCTATTAGATAATGAAGTGGAGAAGATAACAAGGCAGTTGGGTGTGTGAATCTTAGTTCAGAGGAGATTAAGGTAGCAGTTCCAAATTTGAGAGTCATCAGCTTATAGAAGGTATTTAAAGCAATGAGAGAAAGTTGGTTATGAAGTAATGGAAATGGCTAATTGACTATGTAGTGATAGTATATGGAATAAATGTAATTCCTAAGTGATGAATTTTCAAACTTTGTTCCAATTCTGCCATCTTGTGGTCAATTTAATTTTTCTCTCTTTATTTATTTTTTTATTTTTTGTGAGGAAGATCAGCCCTGAGCTAACATCCGTGCCAATCCTCCTCTTTTTGCTGAGGAAGACCAGCTCTGAGCTAACATCTATTGCCAATCCTCCTCTTTTTTTTTCCCCCAAAGCCCCAGTAGATAGTTGTATGTCACAGCTGCACATCCCTCTAGTCGCTGCACGTGGGACGCGGCCTCAGCATGGCCGGAGAAGCGGTGCGTTGGTGCGCGCCCAGGGTTCCGAACCTGGGCTGCCAGCAGCGGAGCGCGCGCATCCAACCGCTAAGCCATGGGGCCGGCCCAATTTTTCTCTCTTTAAATTGCTAACGCGGTTAAGGTATTTTTTTAAAAGCAGTTTAATTGATAAAATTCTTTCTAATGATTAGCTATACACTTAAAAACTATCCACCGATACTAACTGAATTATAAAGCTAATTATCGTTCAATACTGGCTTCTTTTCCTTTAACTGTGGAGAAACTGGTATGTGTATATTTTAATATTTGCCGTATTAACAACAGGTAGAATTTTCAGGAGGAAAAAATAAAAGATTTAAGTAACTCGCTAATGGCTATATACAAATCTATCACATCTCTTACTTCTTTGAGTTTCTAGTACAGAGCACAACAGTCCCACTGTGACATTCTTCAACATTATTTTCTTAGAGGAATGGCTTCTTACTACAATACACATAAAAATGTATTCAGTATTGCTATTGAGTTTCTGGCAAGAATCACATTTTATGTTCATCTTTATTATTTAGAGATTGGAATATGTGCTTTGGAAGGGAAAAGCTGTTTACGAAAGTGAAAGAACCTAATTTTTTCAAGTTTATTTTTTCTAAGAACTATGAAATTAAATTTTAGAAAAGGAAAGAATTATTTTCTTAGTCCTTAGGTTTAAGTTCACTTTTGCCATCTAATGCTTGGTAAAACAAATTTAATTAGCTTTAGTTAAGTAGCATATAGCAGGTGCCCAAAGACATTTTGAATAAATATGCTTTGACCAGAATTGTGAGCAGGTAAAACATTTTTGGACTTATGGCTCCCTTATATGAAATATGTTATCTATTAAAGTTCAGATATAATCTGTGAAGCACAAAGAAAATTTCACTTTTCAACAGCTATAATAAAGGCAAAATCTTTTCCCTTTACAATTAATAATAGATGTATAAACAAAAATACATTTTATACACTTACTAATTGATTTTCACATCACTGGATATAACACCCAGGAAGGGATATGAAAAATCTTTAACTGAAAAAAACCCAACAACTTCAGGGAATGGATACTTACTTTGATCTTCCAGAATTCTCTTTTGGAAGTTTTTTTTTTTTTTCTGTCTTTTAAAATAATACAGGTATCATTATGCAAAAAAAAAAAAATTTAGAAAATAACAGGCAAGCAAAAATAAAAATAAAATTAAAATCATCTGTTATTTTGCTACCCATAGCTAACAATTGTTGACATTTTGGCATACCCTTCCAGGTTTTTATAAACACACATGTGTTCTGAAAAATAAAAATGAGATATTTCACAAATTGTTTTGTAACTTTCTGTCACTTCATAATCCATTTTGAACATCTTTCAATGTCAAAAATTATACAACTATGTTACCATTTTTAATAATTGTATACAATTCTATATATGAATTTATGTACCCAAGAATCTAATGATTCTCTTAAACTCTTAAAAAATACTCACTGCCTTTAACTCCATATTACCACCCATGTGAAATTCAATGGTTTTGCCCATAATGAACACTCCTTCATTTCCACGCACAATAGCACGTCCATCAACTTTTATGTTTAAATCACTAGTAGCATTGCTGGTAATCTGAAAATAAAAAAAGAAGTAGTGAAAAGAGTTTCTAAATTAAAGTAAGAATTATTATCAGAGATAGAGGAATAGGAGTTTCAACCTTGAAATATGAAAGGCAAGTGTTCTCATTCACGTTTTAGAGATGTTGAGATCAAGAAAGAGGACTTGATATTGATCACATAAGGTAGCTAATGACAAATCTAGAACTAATCCTTTCCATTGTTCTGGAATTTATTCTTTCATACCACTATAAAACAATAAAACAGTATAAAAACTCTCCTCTCACTTTGTAACTTGAGACAATAATTCTCTTCCATTAATAAAGCAAAGAAAATAAATCATACCCTTTCAGTAGATGCTTTTTGAACATTCAAACTTTTCACTCCACTTGGCAAATGAAACTCATGAGTTTCATAGTCTGTGCTGAATAAGATATTTTGAGTCCTTGGGTCGAAAAACTGCATGCCAATGTCACTTGTAATAGAAGTTTGGTTCTTTTCTACACTGAGCTTTGTTGTCCCTTGCTGAAAAACAATCTTCAGAAAAACACTTTATTATGAATACATTCTCAAAGAAGACTGCGTCCAAAATTCATCAAGAACATTATTAAAAAAACACTCTATAATAATAGACTAACAAATAATTTTAACCGCGTCTGTCTGTCCCTCCTCTACCCGACTTTGGAAAAGACGTCAAAACAAAATGAGGGCTTATTTGCTTATACTGCTATGCATAAATACAAGGGTCACAGGACACATGGACCTAGGCCTAAGATGGGCAGGGGGTGGTAATACCTCCCTGAAGTTCTATTCAGTTGAAAACCTAAGTCATAGCAGCCACTTGGCATAAGGTGCCAGGACTAGATTGGCATATTCTCTTCCAGACTCCCAGACAGTAGAGGGTATTCTAATGTGCTTTTTTTTGTTTTGTTTTTGGTGAGGAAGATTTGCTCTGAGCTAACATCTGTTGCCAATCCTCCTCCTTTTTTTTTTGGCTTGAGGAAGATTAGCCCTGAACTAACATCTGTGCCAATCTTCCTCTATTTTGTATGTGGGTCACTGTCACAGCATGGCTTGATGAGTGGTGTAGGTCCCTGCCTGAGATCTGAACCCAGGCCACCAAAGTCGAGTGCGCCAGACTTAACCACTACGCCACAGGGCCGGCCCCCGGAAGGTGCTTTTTTAAATGGTTTCCTCATATGGTGGAGAAAAGAGTAAACTGTGTCTTACAGTAATTGTGTCTATCACAGAAAATGCTACCACGGAACAAAATCTACAATATTAAGAAAGCATCCAATATTAATAGATTAAAAGACCAACAATATTATTAAATATATTTATGAATTTTCTCTAAAGGAAAATATCCATTTCCAATAATCAACTCCAGGTTTTTACAAAGAATTTTTCTCTAATGTCCCTCAATTAATGCGGTAACTCACAGGCTGGTTGTTGCCAGTGATGACCAAATTTTCATTTCGCCTTCCTCCTACTGTGCTCTTATAAAGAGGATGTATAACTCCCATGTCAGATACTTGTTTGAATCGAAGCAGACCACTTTCATGAAACTCCATGCTGTCACAGCCATTTGGTCCAATTCGAATCACAGCCCAGATAACAAGCGTTATCTAAAAAGAAAACAAACCCACTGTTAATAGGTTGCATACAGTTAACATAATTGGAAAACAAATAGAAAAGATAAGTGCCAAAGGATTAAACCTCCTAAAATGTTTCATCAGTGAAATGAACATATCAATTGGTTTTCCTCTTATAAACAAAATAAATTTTAGTTTTATCAAGATATTACATGCAAATAGCTAAAAGTCAAAAAGTGCTAAAATGTCTATAATAAAAAAAGAGCAGTTTCTTATTTCTTTTACTCCCTCCGTTTATGATCCAGGGACAACTGCTTTCAACAATTTTAGCTTATTTCGTCTAGAATTTAACTCCATATTTCTAAATAATATATTACTTCTTCACTCATCAATTTTAGGTTTTATCTATTAAATTCCTATTTTAGCAGATGAGAAGTTTAGCTCATTTATACTTCTCCCCAAACTCCAATCTCAAGTTTTGGTTAAATCTATGTTCAGTATTTTCAGTATTATGACCATATAAATATTGGTCACTGCTAAGCCAAATACTGCACTATGATGGCAGATCCTTTCTTGTACTTTGTGTCTTTCAGAGTTTAATATTCGTCTCTGTTTCATTTGCTTAGTTTCTTTGAAAATCTGACTAAATCTTTTCAAATCTTCCAACATTTCTATAAAATGTCTCTTAATAAAATGTTCTAAAAGTCCAAACCTCTCAGATAATTTATTAGTTCTACTTTTCTCCCCTGGGAAATCTTTCTGGAACCCCTATCTTCTTGCTCCATCTGGACTATTGCCCTCTGGGTCTGCCGCACGGCTGTAATCACGAACTCTCCTTCACTTCCATGCTGGAACTTCCTTTCTTCTTTCTCCTACGCTAGATACCCGGTTTCCTGTCTCCTTGTCTTCAACTTCCTTGGTTTAGTGCCTTCTTTTGGTAGCGCACACCCTCTGGTGGCTTCCTTAGAAAGAATGTACGTGAAGTAGATTTTTTTTGAGAGTGTGCATGGCTAAAAAATGTCTTTACAACCTCTCACATTTGATTGACAGTCTGCTTGGTATCCATTTCTAGATGTGAAATTACTTTCTCTCTGAATTTTGAAGGCCCTTGCTTTCTTGCCTTCTGGTTTCCAGTGCTGCTTTTGAGAGGTCTGATGCCACTCTGATTTTGTATTCTTTACACATACCTGTTTGTTTTTTTTCCCTCTGGAAGATTTTAGGATCTTCTCTTTATTCCTAGTTTTCTTAAATTTCACAGTTATGGCCTTGGTGTGAGTTTTTATGCATTACACTGGACCCAGAATGGTAGTTTTCGTTCTAGGCAATTTTCTTGATTTATTTATTTGATAACTTTCTCCCTGGTGTGTTCTCTCATCTCTCTTTCTGAAACTCCTATTAACAGAATGTTACAGTTCTTGGATTGATTCTTTAATTCTGTTGAACTTTCTGGAAGAGTTCCTTTCTGTTATCTTCCAATATCTATCTATATATCATCCTTTCTATCTATCTACCCAAACACCCATCCGGATGTGTGTATTTCTATGAGTTCTTCCCTATTCTTTAATTGCTCCTTCTTAATGGCATGTTATCCTTGTTTCATGGATGCAGTATTCTTTTATTTCTCTGAAGATACTGATTTTAATTTTTTTTTTTTAAGTTTTCTGTCATCTGTTGCATTTTCTCTATCTCCCTGAATTCCTACTTCCCCCATGGTTTGGTTGTTTTTGGTCTCTATCATTATTCAATTCTGGGAGCTTCCCCCCCCCCCCCAAATCTATTGATCTCTGGCAGCTCAGTGTTCATATTTAACAGTGAGGTTGTAAAAAGTCCACAGAAAGTTCTCTGTGTGGGGTGGGGCTTGTGACTAAGAGGCTCACAGTAGGGTGATTAGGTGGCTTTTTCACAGGGACTTGCCAAGTGTCAATATCTTCAGGCCTTTCTCTAGTTAGAGAAACTGAAGCACTTTCTCTAGGTGCTTCAGTTTCTCCAGAGAAGGCTCTTTTATCTCCTGCCCAGAGGATATAAGCCGGGTGCCAGGAAGCTGGAGGTGGAGGATGAGGAGAGGCAGCCTGTAAAACAGGGTCTCAGTATTCTGGAGAATACTGAGAATTAGAACCCTGAGAATCTGGCTCAGGATTCAGACTTCCCTGCCTTCAGTATGGAAGCCCATCCCTACCCTCCTCTATGCAATACCCTCAGACAGAAAGAATCCTCCCTGGTTCAGTGTGTCCACAGGCACACTATTTTTGTGTGGGATTAGGGGGTTTGTTGCCTAACTGCTGGTTGGAAGGGAGAGGAAGGCTAGGGATCTCACGGCTCCTTCTACAGACTCTTCAAACAAGCTCTCTGTTTTCAGTTCCCACCTCACTCCTGCTTTTCAAGCAGGAGTACTTCCAATTCCTGAGGCTTTTCAGGATTCTGCAAGGACTTTCACCAACATACCCTGCAACCCCCTCCCCAACACACACAAGCACTTTCTCTTCTCTGAGTAAGTTATTTGCCATTCCCCCTCCTACTTTTCATCTTCATGTATTATGGTTTAGGATTTTGGTTGCCTCCCACTTTCCTCCAAGGTATTTCTGTTTCTTGACATTGTGACCTTGGGATGAGCTTTTGAAGAGAGGAAGGGGATAAAAATGTCTTTATAATGCCATCTTAACTGGAAGTTTCCCATAAAATAAACTTATAAAGCTATTTATAGAACTCTTTTTAATTTAAGTGAAAAATTAGACACAAATGTTTTGGATGTACATAAAATACAAAGGACTGGCTTGAGAGTATTAGAAGTCAAAAATAAAGTAAATGGAATCACTTTAGAACTGCTGTAGTCCATGTTCACAATCAGTCTTAGGTATACTAATAATCACTCTCTGAAAATATCAATCCACACACATACCAGATGGTTTCATATTTAACCCTCAGACAGTTACAACCTTGGATGAAAAGTCTTCTTTAAAAAAGCAAATATCTTTGGAAAAGGCAATCTACCAGATCCTCAGCACCTTAATGTAAACCATCTTACCAGATCCTTTCATCCTTTGACAACAGAGATTTAACACTACAAAATATAACCCATGACTACCATCCAAGGGTTTACAATTTTAAAACCTAGCTGAAGAGGCAAGGTTAAATGCAGGAAAAGTTGAATGAAAAGAGAAAGGACTATATTTTTTAGGAGCGGTGAAGGCAATAAAATCATCTTAGCAAACGTCTCTTCTATTGAATTGACTCTACCCTTTTAAAAGTTAAGTCCTTTAAAGGGAAGAATCCAAGAACATTTTTTTCCTAAATAAAATTAATACATGGCAATATTAGCAGAGTAGGTTTTTTTATATATATTCATTAAAACTCAATAAGACATAAAACATTTATAGAAAAGCAGAAAGAGGATCTGAAAGAAATTATAGAAACCAAGTCCACTGATTTCACTGAAAAACAGAGGAAAAAGTCCCTATGGTAATTAAAAAAAGAATATTCTGTATTATATACTCACAATTAAATTGATAACCGCCAGGATAAACAAGAGGATAATCACACAGATGGCTAAATTGCCCTTTCTCCCTCTCAGTCCCGTTTTATGGAGGCGATCTTCATCAATTGGAATATATCCAGCTTTAAAGTTACTATTATGCTCTTTATTGACATTCCTTCTCTCAACAGCCTTCTCACGCATGGACTTCTTTACAGGACCATTAGAACTTTGCTGAAAACAAATACAACACAATGGAACAGCTATACCCTCTCTTTTTGATGCATTTAATTATTAAGTGCAAACTCATATCTAAAGAAAGCTGAATTGGTTAGTGATATATTTTCTAAAATAAACTTCAAGTCATGTTTTGCTGCAGGCTGCAAGTAAGGACATTAATGGGTAGCAGAAAAGAACTCTGAGTGTGACTATTTGATAACATATTTCCACTCTCTGCTTTGAATAGTCCTATTGTCAGTAAAGTGTACAGCTAGCTCATTTGTGGGAAGAGTTGATATCTACATTCCATAGTGGGTAACTTTGTTTTCAGTAATGTTTTATAATGATTTGTTTAATTATATATATTTTTTCATTTAAATGAAAGAATTGGGAAAGGCCAACACAGTTGTTTACCACTCCAACTGGCTAAAGTTAACATTATCCAAGACCAGCAGCCCCCCCCACCCCCAAAGCCCCAGTAGATAGTTATATGTCATAGTTGCACATCCTTCTAGCTGCTGTATGTGGGACGCGGCCTCAGCATGGCCAGAGAAGCGGTGTGTTGGTGCGCACCCGGGATCCGAGCCCGGGCCGCCAGCAGCGGAGCGTGCGCACTTAACCGCTAAGCCACGGGGCCGGCCCTAGACCAGCAGTTTTCAAAGTATGGTCTGGGGAGCTCTGGAGGGGTCCCTTGAACCCTTTCACGAGTCTGGAGGGTGAAAACTATTTTCAAAATAACACTGATATGTTATTTTCCTTTTCTGCTCTCCTTCTTTCATGAATGTACAGTGGAGTTTTTCAGAGGCCACATGACTATACATGATGACATCACTGCTCTAACAGCTAATGAAATGTGTGCTTGTGTATTCCTGTGTTTAAAAAATTTCTCAGTTTTAATTTCTAAAATGAACAGATATCAACAGATACAACCCACATAAACTAAAGCTCTTTGGGATCCTCAGTAATTTTTAAGAGTATAAAGAGAACCTAAGACCAAAAAGTTTGAGAACCTCTGACTTAGACTATGTTGAATAACATTTTAGGTAATAATCTGGTATATCACAAACACAAAAGGAATGGGTAGAAATGAATACTGCCCAACTTACATATTTTTTAGAACTCTGAGAAAATTCATTTATTGAATAGGCATTTTATTAAGCACTTTACGCATAAACACTAATATTATACATAGAAATACAAAAGAAACATAGGACAGGATCCTTATCCTCTAGATAACACAAATGTGATTTGGGTACATGAAATAGTTAACAATGCAATAAAGTACTCTGAATGTTCAGGTGCCAAAGTCAATAGTATAGACAATACATGCTATGGAGTTCAAGGGGAGGAGAGACAAGATGGCTTGGAGTTGTCATGGAAACTGGAAGGAATAGGTCGGTCAGATCTGCAATGCAGGGAGAATAAAGTTGGAAAAGTCGGGCAGATGGTGACAGTTCGTGGACAGTTGGGTCCAAATCCTAGTCTTTATGTCTGTGTCATTGGAAGTTACTGGAGGTTTCTGAAATGAATGACATACGTTTCAGGATGCTAAATGTGTGGGTATTTGTAGGAGAGATAGGAAAGAGGAATATAGGTTTCTCCTGCTATCTGAAGTAGAGCGTTCCTATGAAACCTTTTGTAAGCCAAAACAGTGTAAAGCGAGGAAGCAATTACCATTAATTTATACGGGGAAAATTTTTGAGCATTCCCAGAGCCAAAAAGTAACCTACCAAAATAAACTGGGATAAAGCACAGATGCTCACAGACACACTTCAAACCTATGGTGCCTTGATGCTGGGATGCTGAGTGCAGCTCCCAGGAAAGGAGCTTGGCGACATCACTCTCACTGATCGGGGTGCGCGTTACCTCTATAATGGCTCGCTACAAAACAAATGCTGAATGCTATTTTCACTTTTAACTTTTTCTCATACAAGTGAAAATCCACTTCTAATTTCTTTTGGTTAGCAAAAACAGGCACTAATATAAGTCTTTTGTAAAAGCAAAGAGGTGTAAAGCGAACTTTCAGATAGTGGGGAAAATCTGTACCAATAGGCTGTTAGGGATGTAGTAAAGGAGGTTTGAAGTAATGAGGGCCTAAACTAAGGTGTGACGAAAAAGGATAGACTAAAAAGATACTTCAAGAGAAGAGTTAACCGAATTTGTAGCCAGGTTCAAAAAGAGAATCTCGTGTTTACTGAAGGGTGACTAGTTAAATATGGGGAATGAAGGAGGGAGGAGATTCTACATAGGTTGCATTTGAAGTAAATGAGAAATAACCACATGCCTCAAAAGCAATGGGAAGGATGGAATGGGATGTTAGGTCAGTCAGGACTAGAAACACAGATTTGAGAGTCCTCAGCCTCGAGGTAAATTAAAGCTATGATTTCACATCAGTTCACTGTTAAAAACAGTATAGAGGGAAGAGAACAAAGAGCCAAGGACATGGCCTTGAGAAACTTTAAATGTGCAGGAACAATGGAAAATGAGGAATACAAGAATGGTAAGAAAAGCAAGGATGTGCAGTGTTGCTGAACTTGACCTGTCAAGAAGTGCCTCCATAACTTTCAGAGATGACCTCTGAGTAGCAAGCTGGTAAGTAGGAAACAGTCTCAAAGAGAAGCCAGCTTGTATACATCTATTTTCGAGTCCAGGATGAGAAAAGAGGAAAGAGAGAAAATTATAGCTAATGAATTATGTACTGTCAGAGGAAAATTGTGCTTTTTGTTGTTGTTGTTAGTATCTCCTCCCACGCCCCATTTGGGAGAAGACTTGTATGTTTGATGGCAAAGGGAAAGATGCCAAGAGGAGATGCCAAAGATCTCCGAGTAGGGCAGGATAATGCGGGAAACAAGATCCTTCAGGAGGCAGGAGAAAGTGATATACAGTACAGGAGAAAAGAATCGTCCTAAAGCGTGGGCTCCCACTTCCTGAAATGGTTCACACCAAGAAGAGAAAGCTTTCTTCTTTTTCCTAGGGATGTAAAAGGCAAGGTCATCTGCCCAGAAAGAGTGGAGAGGGCTACTGGAATCCTATCATGGTGCCAGGGATAGCAGGCTGGTTGAGGGCTTATGGAAAATAGAAAAAGACAGGAATAATCATTGTGAGTAGTGTGGTAGATAAAAATTGTAACATTCCACAAAGCATTAAGGAAGGCTCTGTAGAAGATGATTCAATCTACTCAACAGATTTTATCACAAAACAGGTTGCTGAATACAGTTGTGTAGTTTGTGTATCTGCATGAGGTGCAACATCTATGAGGGTGCACCGACACCGCAGACATGTTAGAGCTGAATGTGCATTTTGACAGTTTTTTGGCTGAAGTTAAGGGAGGTGTGCTTTCTTCTAATGTTCACAGACACAGTATAGGCTTGTGACAGCGCCAATAGATGGGTAATTTAAAAGTCTTAGCCAGAGTCTGACTATAGGTCTACAGAAAAGAGAGGGCAGAATTTATCCCTCCTGGGATGCATTCTTTACTCGTCTCTGCCAATTCATGTACATTATTATATTCAATTTGATGCCTTTATCATTTATTGAAGAGTTACTATACGCCAGATGCTCCAGACTACTAACATGAGTGAGACATAGCACCTACCTTCAATGAACTTACTTACAGGCCAGTAGAGTAGACAGAGAGGGTCACTAACAATCACAGTTCAACATGGCGAGTGCCGTAGTAGAGCAATGCATATGATACTCAAAGGGTAGAGAAGAGGAATGCAACTCTACTCAGTGAGCAGGGGCATGAGTTGAAGGTTTTTAAGAAAAGTTGAGGTTTTAGTTGAATCTTGAAGGATAAACAGGCAAAAGTGCAGAGAAAGGCATTCCAGGCAGGGGCATGGAAACTGAGTACAAGTCATCTCTGGGCGAACTCATTTCGGTAGTTTTATGTGGATGGTGAAGAGGATGAGTATAGGAGTGGGGGAAAAATGAGGTGAGAGATGTGGTTAGGGGCCAGTAAATGAATGGACATGAGTACCATGTCAAGAATGATGGATTTTATCCTGAAGGTGACAGGGAATTACTGAAGATTTAAAATAGGTTAGTGATACAATCAGATTTGCATTACAGCAAAATCAAACCAAAAAGAGATGAACTGGAATAGAAGAGTTTGGAGATGAAGATATCAATAGCAGGTTTCTCTAACAGTCCAAATGAGGGCTTGACTGAGCTTTGGCACTGGAAATGAAGATAAGATTGGGGAGAGACATTAGGAGGGAAAAATGACAGGACCTGGTGATTGACTGGATGCAAGTGTGACATAGAGGAATCCAAGATGACTCCCAAATAGCACCTGCTACATAATTTGTGGGGTCCGGAGCAAAAAGAAAACGTAGAGTCCGTTGTTGAAAAAATCAAGCCTGGGACAGCAGAGCACTAAACCAAGTGTGAGTCCCTTCTGAGCTCCCTTAAGCCAGCCCTGCGCCCAAGCTTCTGGCTAGGTTAACCAAGCGAAGGGATGGGGCTGTAGCCCGTTTAACGGTGAATATGATGCAATCCAGTTTTGAAGATTTTAGAGTTTGAGGTGCCTGTGGAAAATCCAGCTAAGTTCAGGCTGGAGACATAAATGCCTAACTCTGAAGTCGAGACTGAGGAATGGGTCAGATTGTCCAGTTTATGGGTAAAGCAAGAATAGAATCTCGGTGGAACCTCAAGAGCATCAATACGTGATGTAGATAAAAAAAGAACTGTCTAAAACAGGAGCTGATAAATCAGGAAAGCCAAGGAACAATTTTAATCTCAACAACTACAAGAAGCTTTGTCTCTTTTCACTTTCCCTCATTTCTTTAGATTTTATTTTACTGTTACGATCTGGAGATTACCTGTTGTCTTGAGCTGATTTTTCTGCATTTATTTGGCATCTGACTTTAAGCTCCTTGAAGGCAGATTTCATGTCTTCTATTTTTCATGTCCCTTAGAATGACCGTTCCAGTAATATATAATAGGTCTCTAAAAGCAGTTAATTACCTAAGAAAATCTTTCCAGAAAAGATATTCTGGAAACAGAATGTTGGCAACTTGACTCAGATTTATTTTTTCAACAATATTGAAGAATGAGACTATTTCAAAA